TGAGCGTCAACCGTGCTTCGGCGAGAATGCCAAATGTTGGCGGTTGGGTGGCAAACCAACCATTGCCGAAAGGGTCGGCCTTCTCTGGTGGCACCGAGAAGTGGAGTAGAGGAAGGAGACGATCCAGCCAGCGATACCAAGGAGGGTTGAGCCCTCCTAGTCTAGGCAGTGCCAAAAACAGTGCGATGACGGCGGATCGTCAGGAAACTCTGGCGGGGGCCTGTAGAGCTTGGACTGGATTTGGCTCGTCAACACGGCAGCAGGGTCTCTTCTGACGTCGGTGGCAGATCGGCATTCGTCGGCGAATGGCCAGCGACTGGGTAGAGTGGCGGAGGGCGGCTCTGGCGAGTTTATGGTGGAGTTCCAGAGGAAGAGGCTGCAGTCGAACCAAGAGTCGAGAGACTTCGACGGAGTGCTCAGCGACGGCTCATAGTGAGGCAAAGCAAGCCCCTTTCGTCACGACAGTGTGACGGGGTTCCAGCAGAGGTGGCGGTGGCTGCAGCGGCAGCCACGACCATTTTGTCTGGTGATGGTGGCGAGCTCCCTGGTGGCAATGAGATGGCCGGCGGCAGCAGTAGTCTTAGGTGGTAGTGGGACTTCTTAGGCAGTAGCATCACAAGGAACGAAGTCCTCAAAGGGGTATCGATGGCCTTCCTCTTCCTCCTTTCCTCCCTATCCTAGATCACAGAGAAGGTACTCACAAAATGATAATCTCTCTCAAAAATATAGTGCTCTTTTGAGGGGGGGTCCTACCTCCCCTTATATGGGGGCCCACAAGTGGGCTAAGGGGAGGTGGGTCCACTTAAGACCCTCAAGCCCATAAGCCACAAAGGCTACAAAAGGGGCTTATTGGGCCTCTTAAAGAGAGATCTAATAAGCTCCCCTAAAAGGAGAAAGAGGGAGGCCCTCTTATGGTGCTTAAGTGGGCCTCAAATGAAGACCCAAATAAGCCCCAAAAGAGGCCCAAAAGGAAAGACACATAGGTTCCCCCCCCTTAGGGTTTTAATTGGGCCTCAAAGAGAGACCCAATAAAATCCTAAAGAAAGGGAGAAAAACAACAACACACACACATAGAAATGGGCCCGCTAACACACAAATGTGAGGCCCAACAAGTCAACGTGAAAATACAAAGAAAGATACGGGTGAGCTTGAGCTCGTCATCGTCGCAGAGGTGGAATGTTGTCGTCCCAAAGGGCTAGGCCGCATAGCGAAAGCCAAGCTCCTTCATCTTTGTGCGACGATCAGGCTGAACTCAGACTACCGATGTCTCCTAAGCTAATGGAGATGGGTCTTGCTTGCCATCATACTCCTTCGACACATAATATATAACATGGATTTGATTTTACAGATTTTTTACTTCATGATCTTGATGGATAGTACTTACTTAATGTGAAAATTTGATTGATCATTTGAGTTTAATGGAGATTTTTGTACCCCGATCTATAGGACCTGTGAGGAAAAATTACTTATTTCGAAAAAAAATAAAAAAGAGAGAGCAATGTGAAAAATCTAGAAACGAAGAGTACACATAGAGGGTGTGAGACATTATTCTCATTATTGAAAATCATGTATAGAAAAACACTTACTGTAAAATAAGTGGATAAAGTGAAAGCCCTGAAAATGAAGTGTACACATAGAGGGTGTGAGACATCATTCTTATTGTCAAAAATTTTCTACGAAAAAAGCTACTTATCCACTATATATATAAAAAAAAAGAGAAGGAAGAAATATAGTACAAACTTCAAAAATCAAGCCATGAAAAAAAGGAAATATAAGATCAATATATATTCTTGGATGAGTATTAATAATTAGAACATCTTGTAAATATATCTATGAGTGAAGAAGTGATAAAGATGTGAATAGAAGAAGTGAAGTCTAGATTGTTATTCGAAGAAATGCTTAAACATTTAAGTGCTTGACATCATTCTTAAATACTTGATATAAGAATCTAAAGTGTCTAAAGGTGCATCATTTCTGATTGTATTTTTTTTCTTTTTATGTATTGAAATATGATGTTTGAGATTTGTAAATTTTTATTTTCGTAATTCCATTGCTAAGGGACTAGCAATGATTTAAGTTGGGGGGTGTGGTAAGTCTTAATTATCATGAGTTAATAATTAGTAAATAATATAGTTTTAGCCTTAATTCATGATAAATAGACTTATATTTATGTTAAAGTGTGAAAAGTTGTTTTCAATTGATTAACGTGAATTTTTGGGTAATTATGTGGCTTTATACGATTTTACATGATTTTTATAGTTTTACTTTTGAGATAAATGAAGAAAAAGAAATTAAAATAAAAATAAGACAAAATGGGGGGACCCGCTAGCCAATTGGGCCTACAAGTAGATCGGAAGTGCAATCGGGGAGTAGCTGTGAGTAGGGGCTCGAGTGGCTTGGACCAATTGGACACATGTGCGCCACCCCCCTTCCATGTCACTGGTGGCCAATCGACTGTGGGACAAGGAGTGGTCGTACACATGCGAGAAAGGGACTTGATCAGAAATGTAGTATTACTATATATTCACTAGAAATTTCAGCACACAATTGATGTGGGACTTTTTAACCCACGTCACACCTCCCCAGAAAGGGCGAGGATGCAACCGGTGCAGGTTCAAATCCTCCCAAAGCCAAAATTCATATTTTATTTATTTGATTATCGTGACTTTCCTACAGATCGTTGGTGAAGAATTAAGCAACTAGAATCACTGAATCATTGATGAAAATCTTGTCAACACGATTCGTGGAGCATTGTTACTAAAATTGCTAAACGATTCGCGATAAAAGCATCGCAAATCCATCGAGTAACTCATCTCTGATTGATCGACGAACAAGCTATCATTGGGAAGAGGACAATCTGTTGGGAGACGAGTCACCACCTCTTGAGAGCATACTAGATGCAATGAAGAGCCTCTTCTTGCTGCACAGATCTGAGGATGAAGCTTCTTGACACACACCTCACCTGCATCCAGCTCTTCTTTGTCGGGTGACAGCCACTAGAGAGCCGCAAAGTTGTCATTTTTCCGTTCCACTAGGGGTGACAGCCGCCAGAGAGGATTCAACAACCCATTCATTGATCTTTAGACTTTGCAAGGAGATCTAGAGATTGCTCACATTGTCTTTGTCCAAGGAGAGCCTTCAAGGCCATGGACACTACACGACAATCCTCCCGAATGCTCAAGATTCTGGTGCATCGCCGACGCATCACCGCCTTGACGTCGGAATTTTATTTTCCTACTTTCAACTTAATTTTCGTTCCATTTAGTGATAATTTGTTGATTTTAAATTTACAAAGATATACTTCATTTCATTACGATTCTTCTGACTTTTGTAAGAATCACTAGGTGGAACTCTATTTTCACCCGATTTGCATTCGCCAAGTGCTAGCATCATCCTGATGTCTACACCCGTATTTCCTTTTTTTGTAAATTTTAAATATATTTCATTTTCATTTACTAGTATAAAATTCATAGAAAATAGTATTCTTTGAGGACAATTTTGAATAATTGCCAGATACTATATTACATCCCTCTGATTGACCTAGAAAATTACCATTATTTTTGAAATTTTTATTGAATTATAATTGATATATTTATTCAGAAATATTTCTAAATATCTGAAAATTCATATTTTCTAGTTTTATAAATTTTAAATTTGCATGATTTACAATACAACGACTAAGTCACATCAATAATCAATGTATCCCTTTCTAACATGTGTATGGCCACTCTTTGTCGCATGCCTAATTGGTCATTGGTGATGTGGAAGGGGAGTGACGCACATGTGTCCCCCTATCAGTTTATCTTTAGCCGCTCAAGCCCTTACTCATGATTCCGCCTGTCAATGCTTCCAACCTATTTATGGGCTCGACTAGGTGGCATGTTTTCTCTTTCTTCTATCTTTTTATTTTATTTCTCTTTATTTAACTCAAAAATAAGATTATAAAAATTATATAAATTCACATAAAATCCCATAATTAGCAAAATTAACTAACTAAAAACTATTTTTCATAATTTGACGTAAATATAAGTCTAAATATCATGAGTTAGGATTAAAACTATATAATTAATTAATTATTAACTCATGATAATGAAGACTTATCAACCATCTTCACTAAAGTATGTATTTTTTGATTAACATCAAACTTATCCAATGATTATATCATCGTATTTGTCTAAGGATCAAGAGAATAGATTACTTGATGTACTTAGGACATAAAGAGAGGTGATTGGCTGGTCCCTCGCAGATATTTGAGGACTTTATCTATTTGTGTGTATGCACATATTTTATTGTGAGCAGAACTATCATTTCTTTTTATGCATTTCCTTACTAGCTTTTGTTTCAGACATATTTTATTGGTCGAGTGCTTTAGTTAGAACTATTCAGGGGCAACAATGTAGTAGATGGGGCATAAAAACCAGAATTTTCTTCCCTTTTCCCTTCTCTCACATGCATTAAGGACAATGCAAGACTTAAGTGGGGGAGGTTATCTCTTCCTTCATTTGCATGCATTATCAATATTTAGTGCATAAAATTAACAGAAATAATACATGTTACATTTAATTCATATGCATTCAGATCATTCATACATAAACATGTATTTTAATATTTTTAAAATTATTTTAAGATAATTAATTTTAAATAATTATGCATGAAATATTTTTATGTGAGTTTTAGGATTTTCTAAATTTTATCCTGAAATAGAATTTCTCATAATTTCTAAGAGGTTTTGATATAAAGGTCTAAAATAAAAGAAAATCAGAATGAGTTGGGCTGGGCCGAGCCAAGTGACCCAATGGGCCGGAATATTCAGAGGCTAAAAGTTAAACCATCAACAGGTCGACAGTGGAAGCAGAACCGACGAGTTGGCATGACACTTAAGCAGATGTGGGACACGTGGCCCACACGGGTTCGACGACATTTCAACGGACATCGTGAACAGAAATTGGCACAATTTACGTCAGACCTCAAAGAGAAATGTAATTGGAGATCCGTACCTAATGGCAGAACGTGAAAGAAGAGCGGGTGATAGAGTAAGGCTGTCATTGATCTCTCTTTCTTTCGCGCCTTTTCTCGCTCCCTTTGTCTGTCTGCTCTCTCTCACTCTATCTTGCTCTCGCTTTCTTTCTGTGGATGCGTCCTCGCTCTACGAAGCACGGCGGAGTTCGGACAGCCTGCCGCCTTCTCCTCTCCTCTCAGTCGAGTTCTTCTGGAACCCTTTCTCGTGCGCGAATCCGGAGGAAGAGTGGGAGGCCGCATCCGGCGGAGGAGTCCACCGCCGAAGACGCCGAGGTCACGGTCGGCGCCGCCTCACGGAGAGGTCGTACGTTCCCAGGCTTCTGCTTCCCTGAAAGGCCGCTCCGGGTATGTTCTAGTGCCGTCTTTCGACGAATTCTCGCCTTTCGTTGATTCGGGGGTTATGTTCTAGTGCCGTCTTTCGATGGGTTCGTGATTTTCTGTGTCGGGGGCATCTTCTTGTGGACTCTTTGGATGGGATCTTTATTTTCTTTGATTTGGACTTTCGGTTGCCTGCGGTGGTGCGGGTGGTGCGAGATTGCTGAAGAAAGCTCTGGCTTTCCTCCTTCCTCTTATTTATTTACCTTCTTCCGATTTGTTTTGCCGCTTCGTTGCTGATTCGATTTGATGTTTGGTCTGGGTAGGGGGATCTATCTTCTTCTTTAGACTTCCATCCGATTGCTCTTTGGGGACGGATGAGTGTTACCGTCTGGAGGAGAAAAGATTATTTCAGCAAGGTTTATCGATTGACGGTGACGGGTGAGCGTGTTGAATCAAGGGGCACATTCGATTTTCAGATCGCTGAGCGATCGACCAGTTTCTGGAGAAGAACCCGGTGATTTCCGGCAGGAAACAACACCCTCCGTACCTGCACCTCTCCCGAGCGTTATTCCCCACCCAGAAAAGCCATCAGAACTTGGTGGCGGGCTGTCCTGTTGAGAAAGCAGCTGGAATCGAGGGAGGAAGTGTGGACGAGGTTGTCGGGCTACAGGAGGAAGCGAGGATGTCTCCCATCCCGGATCGGGTACATGCTTCGACGTCCCTCATTCCTTTCCTTGACGGCGACTGTAGAGAGCTTTCTCTCCCCATCCCAAAGCACATCACATCTTGACAATAGGAATGTCCTATCCAAAATCGACAGGTGCAGGTCGGAAATTCTCCATTATACAAGGTAGAGAGAATGTTGGGTGCAGGAGGTTTTGGGCTGGTCTACATTGGACGAAGGGTGGCTGGTGGATCTCAGGGCAATGGGCCCAATGCCTTTAAGGTTTAGTTTCAACCTCCCATCACTCCTGCCAAGGGAATCTTTAAATACTGCTGTTTTATGTTGTCTCTTTCATTTTCCTGCGGTGGGTGTAGGTAGCACTGAAGTTTGAGCATAGAAATAGCACGGGTTGCAGATTTGGCCCCCCATATGAATGGCAAGTTTATGAGTAAGAAGACACCCCCTACTGCTCTAATTTATTACGTATTGTGTCGATCTAAAACTACGTTCTTCATCTGACTTTGTGAATATGGTTTTAGCCATCTCAAGGGATGCTATGGATTGCCTAGGGTGCACTACAAGGGCCGCCAAGGAGATTATTTCGTCATGGTTGGCGTAGAGTCTTTCATTTTATTGTTTCCTCGAATTATGTTTTTTATTGAAAGCTAATTATGATATTGTTGATGATGATTGCTGCAGATCATGGACATCCTTGGACCAAGTCTCCTGGATGTGTTCATATCCATTGGGCAAGTGTAAGAAAATAATCTTGACTTCATATTCAAAGTCAATATTCTGTTGAGAATTGTGCTATTGAGTTTGACTAACTCCTTGGACAGAATGCCACCAAATATGGTGGCTTGTATTGCTGTGGAGGCAATATCCATCCTTGAGAAGCTACACCAAAAAGGGTACGTATGGCTTTGTGGCAGTGTGATATTTTTTCAATTAAATTTTTGCAAAGGTCACAGTAATCAATTCATTGCTCCCTTGTGCACTCCCCTCCCTCCCTCCACCCACACAAAAAAAAAAACATGCCAGGTTTGTGCATGGAGACGTCAAGCCAGAGAATTTATTGTTGGGTAAACCCGGAAGCTCAGGGGAGAAGAAGCTTTTTCTCATCGACTTTGGGCTGGGTATGTTGCTGCATTCCAATCACTTCTTGTTTTCACCTTTCGCACCTATTGATTTTAGAGTAGGGTTTGTTTTTCCAAGTATATAAACAAATTCGTCTTGACTGAGAAGTCCCTGTCTGTATCAACATCAGTGATATTTTTGTGCTTTGTTCAGAGCCTGTACAAATGCTAATTGGTGTCATTAATATTTTAATCAGCTTCAATGTGGAGGGACAGTTTGTCAGGCCAGCATGTCAGCTTATGCCAACAGCCAGATAATTTCAGGTTTTTTGGGAAACGATATTCTATTTTTTCCCTAAATTCTTAGCTAAGAGGAGGATTCATAAAATCTTACCCCTACCTTACTATCTATCTCATGTTCCCTAGGGGCACAACACGATATGCAAGCGTCCATGCACATTTAGGCCTCACAGCGAGTAGAAGAGATGATCTTGAGTCATTGGCCTACACTCTGATTTTTTTGATTAAAGGAAGGCTGCCGTGGGAAGGCTATCAGGTTTGCTTTCACCTCTACTTGTACATGTTCTCCCATCTCTTTGATTGATCACTTGCTGATTCTTATGCCAACTATGTAGGGGAATGACAAGAGGTTTCTAGTCTTCATGAACAAGACTGTAACCTCCCCTGAGACGCTGTGTGGTGGCTGTCCCCCTCCTTTTGCACAATTCCTTGAAGCAGTGAAGAAGATACAATTTGTTGAGCAGCCCACCTACTCGAAGCTCATTTCTCTTTTTGGAAGCTTGATATGCCCCCCCTGCACCCTGTTAAAGACCATTCGGATTGATGCAATTTTGAAGGTGGTTGCAAACATGACATCACTGAAATTACCTCACATATTTTTATTTTATGTCAGATGGTTTTATCTCTTTTTCATGGCTCTATCATCTGTTGTTAAATAGGCTGACCATGTTTCTAACAGGTTCACCAAAAACGTGGAAGATTGCAGGTAAATAATGAAGAAGATGAGTGTCATAGAAAGAAACGGATAAAATGTTTGATTGATGACAGACCATGACCATGTACATGTAAGAATATAAATAAAATCTGTAAAGATCATCTGTTTTTAGCTCTGCTAAGTGACAGCTGCCGGAGACAATTTGATGACCCATTTCATTGATTTCTAGACTTCACATGGATATCTAGAGATTGCCCACATTATCCTTGTCCAAGGAGAGCCTTTGAGGCCATGGACACTACATGACAATCTTCTCCAATACCTAGAATTCTCGTGCATCATCGACACATTGCCGCCGTGATGTTGGAACTTTATTTTTCTATTTTTAACTTAATTTCTACTTCATTTAGTAATAATTTGTATAATTTAAATTTACCAAGCTATATTTGATTCAATTACGATTCTTTCACTTTTTACAGATCTTAATTTGATCAATTAGATCATTTGTAATTGCTTACACAAGAATCACTAGGTAGAACTTTATTTCTATTTAATTCGCATTCGTCGGGCACTGACGTCATCTTAACATCGACACCCTTATTTTCTTTTTTCACGAATTGAAGTATATTTTATTTTTATTTCTCAGTGTAAAATTCATAAAAAAATATATTCTTTGAGAAAAATACTAAAAGTTACCTAGTATTATATTACATCTTTGTGATCGACTTGGAAAATTACCACTATTTTTGTAAATTTCATTGAATTATAATTGATATATTTGTTCAGAAATACTTTTAAATATCTAAAAATTAGTATTTTCTAGTTTTATAATTTTTAAATTTGTGTGATTTACAATACAACGACTAAATCACGTCAAAAAGTTTTTCACCTTCCTATAGAGATCAAACATAAGGCTTATTAGGTTATAAAGAATCTTAATCTTTCTTTAGACCCCATAGGTAAGCACCATAATGTTGCAATTGCAAGAGCTTCAAGAACTACCCAATGAGATGTACGAGAAATCTCTGATTTACAAAGCAAAAATGAAGGCTTTTTATAACATGAAGGAGAGCCGAAAGAGCTTTCATGAGCATCAAAAAGATTGGTTTTACAATTCTCGATTGAAACTATTCCTCAAGAAATTAAAATCTAGATGAGATGGACCATACCTTGTGATTAAAGTTTTTGACTATAGTGCAGTATTAATTACAGAATTGAAAACTGGCGAAAATTTTAATGTGAATGGGCAAAGATTAAAACCTTATTTAGAAACGAACCCTCCTTCTTTACCCATTTCCACTCAAATTATATGATCCATCCATTGAGCCTCAATCTTCTTAGAACTTCCCCTCCATGATGTACTCTAAGATGGCATAGCTTTCTTTTTTATTATTTTTCTCTATCCTTTGATGTTTTTCTTGAGTTTTTATTAAGCAAATAGATCCAGCGTTCTTCTAGAGGAAGTGCATATCATGACATGGATTAATACAAAAGAAAATCAGAAGGATGAAGAGTGAAAATCGATTTGCACATTTAATGCTTTCTCCTTTTTCTCTTATATAGATGCATTGAGGACAATGCAAATGGTTGTTTGGGGGGGAAGAATAAATGCATGAGGGTGAATACATGAGACTACATCAAGTGCTATAATGCTTATAACTAAATGATGAAGTTCATCATCTTTCATGGTACATATAACCCACACTCTGAAATTGAGAAAATCTACTTTGATCTTCTGTCGGATTTATGTTATGAATTCTTATTATTAAGTATGAGTAGTAAATTGAATCCTTCTCTTTCTTGATTAGTAGTCGGTCGAAAAGTTTTCAAATTAGTTGACGCTTTTACAAATCATTAATCATGATTAAATTTGAGATAAAAGGATAGAACATGGTAAAGATTACACTAGAAAAAATAAAATAAAAATCGTAGTAGCAGCTTAGCTGATTTTGTGGGGCTTCCACATGTGAAATTAGGATCAACAAGGCTTGCAAAATACTTCTTGTAACGATTCTTCTAGCTTTTATAGATCTTAATTTGACTAATTAAATCATCTATAATCATTTATGTAAAAATCACTAGGCAAAACTCTATTTCTGCCCAGTCACATTCATTAGGTGCTGACATCATCTTGACATCTACACCTTTATTTCCCTTTTTCACAAATTTTAAATATATTTTCTTTTCTTTTTTTAGTTTAAAATTCATAAAAAATCATATTCTTTGAGAACATTTCTGAAATATTACCTGATATTATATTATATCCTTATAATTGACCTAGAAAATTTCCACTATTTTTAGAACTTTGATTAAACTATAATTGATATAATTATTCAAAAATACTTCTAAATATCTGAAAATTAGTATTTTCTAGTTTTATAAATTTAAAATTTCTATGGTTTACTAAATAAGGGATATTTTAGGTATTAAAATTATTAAAAGTTTTCAGAGGCTATGACCCCAAGTTTAGTCCCACATTGATTATATGCCGAGTTTTGAGATTGATGTATAGTAATACTAGACTTGATAATTGATAAGTTTTCATTATCATGAGTTAATAATTAGTAAATAATATGGTTTTAGTCTTAACTCATGATAAATAGACTTATATTTGTGTTAAAGTGTGAAAAGTAGTTTTCAGTTGATTAATGTGGATTGTTGGGTAATTATGTGATTTTATATGATTTTATATGATTTTTACATTCTTACTTTAGAGATAAATAAAGAAAAATAAATTAAAATAAAAAGAAGATAAATTGGGAGAACCCACTAGCCAGCCGAGCTTGCAAGCAGGTCAAAAGCACAGTTGGGGAGTAGCCACGAGGAGGGGCTCAAGTGGCTTGGACTAATTGGGCATGTGTGTGCCACCCCCCTTCCTCATCACTGGTGGCCAGCTAGTTGTGGGGCAAGGAGTGGTTGTACACGCACGAGAAAGGGACTTCATCGAAAATGTAGTATTACTATATATTCACTAGAAATTTTGGTGCACAATAGATGTAAGACTTTTTTTAACTCGCATCACACCTCCTTAGAAAGGGCAAGGGGGGGGGAGAATCGGTGCAAGTTCAAATCTTCCCAAAACCAAAATTCATATTTTGTTTATCTAATTATCACGACTTTCTTGTAGATCACTAGTGAAGGATTAAGCAACCAGAATTGCTGGATCATCGACAAAAATCTTGTCAACGTAATTCGCGGAGCATTGTTACAAAAATTGCTGAACGATTCACAATAAAAGGATCGCAAATCTATCAAGCAACTCATCTCTGATTGATCGACGAACAAGCCATCGTCAGAAAGAGGACAATCCGCCAGGAGACGAGTCGCCACTTTTTAAGAGCATACCAAATGCGATGAAGAGCCTCCTCTTGTTGCGCAGACTTGAGGATGAAGCTTCCTAACACGTGCCCCACCTCCATCCAACTCCTCTCTGTCGGGTGATAGCCGTTGAAGAGCCGCAAAGTCACCATTTTTCTACTTTACTGGGTGATAGTTGTTGGAGATGATTCAATTCGACAACTGATTTCATTGATCTCTAGACTTTATAAGGAGATCTAGAGATTGAGCACGTCATCTTTATCCAAGGAGAGCCTTCAAGGCTATGGACACTACACGACAATCCTCCTAAACGCTCAAGATTCTGGTGCATCTCTGATGCATTGCTGCCATGACGCCGGAACTTTGTTTTCCTACTTTCAACTTAATTTTTATTTCATTTAGTGATAATTTTTTGATTTTAAATTTACCAAGATATACTTCATTTTATTACGATTCTTCTAAATTTTATAGATCTTAATTTGATCAATTAAATCATCTATAATCGCTTACGTAAGAATTGTTGAGCAGAACTCTATTTTTGTCTGATTTCCATTCGCTAGGCGTTGATGTGATCTTGACGTCGCACCCTTATTTCTTTTTTTCATAAATTTTAAATATATTTCCTTTTTATTCACAAGTATAAAATTCATAGAAAATAGTATTCTTTGAAGACAATTTTGAATAATTACTAGATATTATATTACACCCCTCTGATCGACCTAGAAAATTACTACTATTTTTAGAAGTTTTATTGAATTATAATTGATATATTTATTTAGAAATACTTCTAAATATCTGAAAATTTGTATTTTTTAGTTTTATAAATTTTAAAGTTGCGTGATTTATAGTACAATGATTAAGTCGCATCAAATTTTGGTACCGTTGTCGAGGATATATTGCATAATATTTAATATTTTTCTATTTTTCTCTTAGAGTACATAAAAAAAGTTAACTTTTATTTTATTTTCTTTTTGTTGATTTTTTTTTTTTTTAAAGAAACGAAGAGAAGCAAGGCAAGGATTAAAGCATATTGAAGGAGGGTAACAATTACTAAACTTTTTTTTTCTCAATTTTATTGATTTTTTATGCATGGTAGAAGATCCTTGCATCTAAGGCTAGAAAATTCTTTTATTATTTCATTCAAAACTAAAAATTTGAAAGAAAAATTAATTTTGATGGATCCTGATGGAAGTAGAGGTCAAACTGAGAACAACCTTATGGCCATGAAAAATTATTATATCCCTAATTCATTTCAAAGAGCATCTAATATTAAAGTCCCATTAGCACTCACTATTAAATTCAAAATAAATCTAGGAATTTTTCAAATGCTCCCTAATTTTCATGGATTGCCTTTAGAGGAACCTCATCAGCACTTAGAAAAATTTCATATGGTCTGTGATTTAGTTAATCTCCTTCAAATTACACTAGAAATTATTAAAATGAAATTATTTCCTCATACATTAGGGACAGAGCTAGTCATTGACTACTCACATTAGATAGAGAATTAACTAGCTGAAAAGACTACAATGGAGATACAGGTACGTGTTTCCTTTGTTTCTATTTTCAGGTCTATCACAAGCCACAACTATGACATCATCATGGCGCTCATCCCATACCACCGATGTGGAATGCACTTTGCCTATCAGTACAAGACAGACAACAAGGCACATCGTAATCCACTCGGGTACATTACTTCCAATCATTACTCTCCTCATAATCACCTCACATCTACTATCT